TGCTAGGCAACCATCTCTCTTTCTCTCGGAGTTTCGTCTTCTCTCTCTCTTTCCATTGCCTTTGGATTTTGCAATGGTGTTCTCTCTATCATCGACCACCGCCTACCACCGACCGCGCCCGTCTGAAACTACACCACGTGGCACTTTAAGTTCGTTTAACGCTCGCAATTCGAGTCTTGCATTAAACGAACTCTCTTTTAAATATGTTTATCTAATAGTCGTTTATATAGATGGGAATCCGAAAAAGGAAAGAGGAAAAAAATACTTTCTGAATGAATGTAACGAGTGTTGGAAACAATTTTCCAGATGCAAGTGTCTCTTTCACCACGTGCTTTGAAATTTCATGGCTGTGAAATCATGAAAATTAATTGACTTCTTTATTTTTCTAATGTACAATGTGTGGAATTTCTCGAAATGGTTGAGATTTCTCTGAGAATTCTTCGAATAGAGGGGAAATTCTGAAAGTGCAATCATATGCAGTAAAATTGTTGAAACAATGATGTAAGAGATGTTTTTGCGAGATATTTTAATTTTATGGAAATTTGAAAATTAGAAAATATTTCTCTCTCTCATTTCTCTTTTTCGAAAATTATATTTCTATGAAGTTTTTCGGATTTTCTAGTAGATAAAATTTATCGTAAATAAAGTTATTTACAATCTAAATTATTCTTTTTTCGAAATTCAAAATTTTCTATTACCAATTTTGCCGGTCAGAAATTTTAAATCAAATTTTTACTTCAAAAAATTATCCTTTCCTTTAATAATTGAACTGCTTTTGAATTTTTTTCAAAGAAAGAAATTAAAATTCTTTCTGGAAATCAGGGGAAAAAATCAAATTTCTTGTCTCAACTCTGATGAACAAAAAAATTGTTTCCTCAGTCAGAAAAAAATTGTACATTAAATAATTAGTGGTTGTCAAAATAGAAAAAAGAAGAATGAAGTGTTTTATTAATGAAATCTAATTCTATGGAGATTTCATTCAAGTATAATTTAAGAATAAATTTTCAGAATTAATTTCCAACTTTAAATATAAGAATACCTCGATAATTTCTCTTCATTATCAAATCTAATCATCAAATTATTACATATGATTGCGAAGAATTAAAGAATCTCTCCCACTTCTTTTTTTCTCATTCACTTCATTCCGAAATGAATAATCATCTTCGTTGGAGGGAATTAATTTAGTAAAAATCTCTCATAAAATATTTAATAGGAATTTATTTCCTCAAGACTGATTTTGGAACGGAAATGACGACAGACAAAAATATTATGCTGGTGGCTTGAACAATGCAGAAAGCTTAATATATATATATAACTCTCTCGTTAAGTGGTTTCTTTGAGTTCAGATAAAGAAAAGTATTATTATAACGTGTCAAATGCGTGCTTGACAAAAAAAAAAAAAAAAAAAAAAATAGGAAAAAGAAAAAAGAAAAAGAAAAACGAATGTTCAAAGCTCAGAGAAAATGTTAAAAAGGGTGCGCGTGAAGAACGAATGCTGCTGGGTGAGAGAACCATTTTTTCTCGAATCAAGACAACACTACTGCCTTTTTCTCAAGTTTCCCACGACTTTTTCACTCCATCTACGTGACTTACTTTTCATGAGAATGGATTTTGACCACTTATCAGGCGCAGTCGTCCAGCTTTTCGCTCTATACGACTTATAGAAATTCTCTCTCTCCTTCCGCTATAGGGTATACGAGGGAAATTTATTGTCCTTTTGGCTAAAGCCGGAATCAAATAGTCTATTGTCTGACGATTTGAAAATTCAATTACTCATCAATCAACACCATATTCCATTATAATCCTCTAAATACCATCGCAAAATCGGCGAAGAAGCCTGCAAAACGAAAGGATCAGTCGACTGCCTTTTCATCGATTATTATTAGCATTCCTGCAAAATATGAAAAAAAATTAAAGCTATTTTAGTTTAATTTTTAGCGAATTGAAAAAAATGTTTTCATTTTTGTTGAATTCAAAAAAAAAAATTAAAACTACTTTTCGCGAATTAAAGAAAATGTTTTCATTTTTGGCGAATTGGAAAAAATGTTTTTATTTTTGTAGGCTTTGCACTTATCTACTAAAACTACTTTTGTTATTTATTTATTTTCTATTTACTACTTTTTTCCGATTTACTACTACTTGGATACTTTTCCTTTAGATTTGTGACACTAAAAGCTATTTCTTTCTTTTTGAGAATTTGCACTAGGTACTTTAAATTCGCTTATAGTCGAAATAAAAAAATTATTCTCGAAAATTTTGATTAAAATTCTTTTGAAATGATTCAATTATTTTCAAAAACTTTTCGAAATTCAATTATTTTCAATATCAACTATTTTAGAAAAATTTTCCAAAAAAATGCAATTATTTAAAAAAAAGTTTTGATAAAATTCTTCGCAAACGTTCAATTATTTTTATGAATACTAAATTTCCACAGGAATTCAATTATTTAAAATAGAATTTTCATAAAATCTGTCGAGAAAAATCAATTATTTTCAATACAACAATTTTTATTAAATTCCTGGAAAGAATTCAATTATTTTCAAAATTTTAATAAAATTTTTCGCAGGATTTCAATTATTTTAGTAAATAATAAAATTCTTCGCTGCAATTCAATTTATTCTTTTAAAAAAATTTAATAAAATTCGTTACAACAATTCAATTATTTCCATAAATAATAAAACTCATTTCAGGATTAAAATTATTTTTATTTATTGAATAATTGAATATTTCTTAAAATTTAATTCTTATAACAAATTTTATCAAAACTTTTTTAAGTAATTGAATTCTCTTAAGACCATTTTTAATAAAATTTTCAAGAATAATTGCAGTTTTCGAGAAATTCATTAAATAATAATTATTTATTTTGTATTTAAATAATTGAATTTTTGTTGAACTTTCTAAAAAGATTTGATTTAAAAATAATTTCAATTAAAATTTTAGAAAATAATTGAATATTAAAAGCGTTAATAGTATGAATTTTTAGAAAAAATATAAATATTAAATAAATACTTTATAATAAAAATAAAATAATTCAAAAGATTTTTAAATTGAAATCTTTGGAACTTTTTATATTTTATTATTGCTTATTATTATTATTATTATTATTATTATTTTTGTTTATTAATAATATAAAAATTTGTATTGCAAAAAATTATCAATCCATTATTTTCTTAAAAAATGATTTAAGTTTTAAATAATTTTATGTAAAAATTTCAACAGAAAAATGATTTAATTTTGGAAGAATTACAATTGTAATTTTTAGAAAAAGTTAAATTTCAAAAAGGTTTTTACAATTGAAATCATTTAAAATATTTTGGTTTCCTGTGGAAAAATAAATAAGCATTTAAATATTTATTTATCAAAAATTATTCAAGTTTTAAATTTAAATTAATTTAAAAATTATGAAGAAAATTAGTCTTTTGAATAATTTTAATTAAAATCTGTTGAAGATATAGTTAGTAATTTAACGAAATTAACTTATATTTCCAATTATTTGGAAATTTTGTCAATATTTCATTGAAATATATTTTTATTTTAAAGAATTTAATTTCTTTTACTTTTAAAAATTATTATTAAATATATAATTGTATTTTTGAAGAATTTGAAATTAAAATTTAAGAAATAATTGAATTTTGCAAAAATTAAGAATTGAAGTTATTGTCAGAATAATAAAGAGTAAAAATTTTTTTATGGAAATAAATTACAAAATCTTTTTGTGGTTTTTGTGAATCGCTTAAAACGATTTTTTTCAGTAGTAAAATTTAATTTTTCGATAGCTACATTTTTACTACTTTTTTTGGTCTTAAAGCTACTTTAAAATATTAATTATCAAGTGCGAAGTCTGTTCTTGTCAAATTGAAAAAATTTGTCATTTTTGCAGAATTAAAAAATTTCTAATTACTTTCAGCGAATTAAAAAAAGTTTGAATTACTTTTATTTGTCAAAATTACATTAAAATGGCTCTTAATTTTGAATCCAGTAAATTCGAAATTTTTTTTTCGAATTGTTGGTGAAGAATTGAAGCAAAAAAATGAATTTTAAATACTTCGGGATTTTCGTGTTTCACACTTCTTTACATTCTATACTGAATTTAGTGCACACATCGTACAGGAGATACAATTTAGAGCGACTGTTTAAAATTCTTGGTTGGCCGTTTTCTTTTTCTTCTTCGTTTGGAAGTATCGGGTGTCGAGTTGCAGGGCCACGCAAAGATCATGAGGAAGGAATGGCAGGGAGAAAAGAGTAAAAGATCGAAAGGGAGAGTAGAAGAGAGAAAAAGAGAAAGAAAGAGAGAGAAATGAAGACAGAATGTACAGGAAGAAGAAACGATCTTTTCTCGGAAATAATGAATGCTACTTCTGTTTAAAATCTCACGCGGCTTGTGTCGATTTTTTTATATATATATATATATATATCTATTTTTTCCCTTCCCTTAAAGACCACACCCTTTCTTCTTTCCCTGAAAAAGCGTATCTTTCATGTTTATAGGAATGTGCGCGAGAAAAAGGTCTTTTTCTTTAGAAAAAAAAAATTCTCCCCTTTTTTTTTAATCATCAAAATATCAGTAAGCTCAATGACTCAATGGACATTGATAGAATGACAAATAAGGAGAAATAATCCCCCTCTTGGCTTTCTCTTATCGACACCAGCTCATTATCGTCGTCTTTATTATCCAAGATAATCAGGTTTCTTCACGATGTATTTCTTTCTTTTTCCACGAATAAATATCCCTTTGTTCATTAGAGGAAATAATTGTAGTATTCCAATGAAATTGTTGTTGATATTTTTGTAACGATTTCTTAATTATAGAATTCTGACAATGATTTTTGAAAAGTGTAATTGGAGATTGAAGAAAAGTCTTTTGGAGCAAAAAAAAATTAAATATGGGAAAAAATTGTTAAGGAGGGAAAAGAATTTATTTAAAAAACAATTTTTTTAAACGTAATTAATTAAAAATTTAGTTGAACTTTTATTGAAAAGAATTCTTTTTTTGATTACAGGGCCAAGCTGTTGTGCAACTCGCTAAAACTGTAAAGGATGTCACCATCTTTGGAGTTTGCAGCAAAGGAAAGCATGAAAATCTTAAGGATACAGGAATTGATCATCTTATTGAACGTGGGGTTGATTATGTCAACGAAGTCAGAAAGTGAGTTACAAATTCGCCAAAGATGTGAAAATTTAGTAGAAGAAATTATTAAAATAAAAGAAAATTTCAAAATAAGTTCAAAATTCAAACCAAATATCCAAATTTCAAATTATTTGGAACTTTTTTTGTTTTTTAATAATTAAAAAAATAACTTTCTAATACTTATCAAATGAAATTTTGAAGAAATCATGAATTTTTATATTTATATTTAAAATTATCCAAAAGTATAGGTAATAAATTATTAATTTTTACAAATATTCTTTTAAAAAATCCAATTATTTTCAGAAATTTTTTTACTTATATCAATTATTTGGAACTTTTTCCTCTTTTTTTTTTGTTTTTTAATAATTGAAAAATATTTTATCATTAAAAAATTATTCTAAATTTTTTTTAAATATTAATTTTTTAGAATTTTATCCTAATTATTTAAAAATCAATTATTTTCATTATTTTTCATTACACTTTTGAATAAAATTTACCTTAATAATTAAAAAGAACTTGGATGAGTTACAACTACAATTACGAGAAAAAATTGAATTTTTGTTTTTAAATAATTGAATTTTCGAAGAACTTGCAGAAAATTACTAAAACTAATTGATTTAGAGAAACTATGTAATTGAATTTTGAAGAGGTCACAGTTGTAATTTTGAGAAATAATTTAATTTCAGAAGTCTTAAACTTGAAATAATTAAATTTCAGAAGTTTTAAAATTGAAATTCAAAAACTAAATTTCTGTGTGAAAATAAATAAGTATTTAAATATTTATCTAACAAAATTATTGAAGTTTTAAATAAAAATTAAAAAAATTATTTAAAAATTTTTTTTGATATTTCAAAATCAGTTAAAGGGGAGGGAAATATAAACTTTTCTACTTTTTTTGCTCTTTAAAATCGATCCGAGGCATGATTATTAAATATTAAATAAGATTCAATATCAATTATTGTATAATAATAAAAATATAAATAATTTTTTTCCAGAATTTCCAACGAGGGCGTCGACATTGTTTTGGATTGTCTATGCGGTCAGGAATGTAATCATGGTTACAATCTATTGAAACCAATGGGAAGATACATTTTGTACGGATCGAGCAATATTGTTACTGGAGAAACCAAAAGCATTTTCTCGGCAGCCCGATCCGTAAGCAAATACTTTCAGGTCTAACATGCACGTTTTCTTTTCACCATTTATTGTAGTTTAGTTTCATGCCAAGTCTTTTTTTTGTCAATTAGAATTACTATGAATTATATTTTAAAATAGTTAATTTTTTAATTATTATATTTCTGAATTATGGAAACAATTGCACATAATAGAAGCAAAGGTAAAGAAAAAATATTTATTCGCACCATTTTTCTCCTATTTTGCTTGGCAATTTTATTTCTTTTGACACCATCCAACACTTCGATTTTAATTTAAAATGCAATTTTTTATTTCGCTTTGAGCGTTTGCTTGAAAATTTATTAACGCTTTTTTTACGTCTCCATTTTTACATTCTCATAAAAAAAAAAACGAGAAGGTTCTTATATCTTCAGTTAATTGCTTTTAGGATTTCAATTTCAAAATTAGAAATTACAATTTCTGATAATTGATTAAAGAATCGGAAAAGAATGATGTTTTTTTTAAATTAAAAAGATCTTGTTTTAATTACAGTGGTGGCAAGTGGACAAAGTGTCACCCATCAAGTTATTCTACGAGAACAAGACAATTTCCGGATTCAATTTGCGTCACTTGATGTACCAAAGTGGATGTCACGGATTCGTACGAAAAGCTGTCAATCAAGTCTTCCAATTATGGAAAGATGGTAAAGTAAAGCCCGTTGTTGATTCGACCTGGGCACTTGAGGATGTTCCTGAGGCCATGCAAAGGATGCACGATCGGAAGAATGTGGGAAAAATTGTTCTGGATCCAAGCCAGGAGCCCAAGCCCAAGCCAGCGACGCCCGCTAAGAGCAAAACAAAGGACAAGAAGAACCAAAATCAGGAAGAGAAGAAGGCCGCCAGTGTTGATTCGGAAGAGAACGAGAAGAAAAAGGAGCCAGAATTAACCAATGGCACGTCGGAGGACAAATCTGACAGCGGTGAGGAACATTTTTTTTTGTTTCGTGTTAATTCAATTAAATTACTAATTATCAATAAAAGAAAAAATTGAATAATTTAGATTTTATAAATTTAGAAAAAAGAAATTTTATTTTAGAGGCTTTGTACTCATCTACTAAAAGCTAGTATTTATAACTTTTTTTTTACGATTTGCTAATATTTAGATACTTTTTTTTTAGATTTGTGACAACAAAAGTTTACTTCTTTAAATTTACATCTTTAAATTCGGCAATAGTTGCAATAAAAAAAATATTCTAAAAAATATTGATAAAAGTCTTAGAAACAATTAAAAAAATTTTAAAAAAATTTTTTTTAAACGATTCAATTATTTTCAAAAAGTTTAAGAAATTTCTTCGCAAGAACTCAATTATTTTTACAAACAATGAAATTCTTCGCTGAATTTCAATTATTTTCAATATCTAGTATTCCAATAAAACTTCTCAAAAGAATTAAATTATTTTTAAAAAAAATTTAATTATATTCTTCGCAAAAATTCAATTATTAGTAGGTATCATGAATAATAAATTTTTTTCAGAAATTCAATTATTTAAAATAAAATTTTCAAGAAAATTTTTTGAAATAAATCAATTATTTGAAATATTTTAATAACAAATTTTTTTGATAGCAAATAATTAGTTTTAAAAAATTTTGATAAAATTTCTTTAGAAGAATTAAATTAGGTATTTTCATAAATAATAAAATTCATCGCGGAAATTCAACTATTTTAGAATTTTAAATAAAATTTGGAAATAATTGAATTATTTTTTAAAATTTTAATAAAATGTTTCAAAAAAATTAAATTATTTTCAAAAATGTTAATAAAATTCTTGGCAAGAATTCAATTATTTTTACAAATACTAAAATTTCTCCTCAGGAAATTCAAATATTTAAAAAATAAATAGAATTCTTTGTAAAAATTCCATTGTTTTCATAAATAATAAAATTTTCTCAGAAATTCAATTATTTAAAATAAAATTTTCAAGAAAATTTTTAGTAAGAAATCAATTATTTGAAATATTTTAATAACAAATTTTTTTGATAGCAAATAATTAGTTTCAAAAAATTGTGATAAAATTTGTTTATAAGAATTAAATTATTTTCATAAATAATAAAATTTATCGCGGAAATTTAATTATTTTAGAATTTTAAATAAAATTTGGAAATAATTGAATTATTTTTTAAAATTTTAATAAAATGTTTCAAAAAAATTAAATTATTTTCAAAAATGTTAATAAAATTCTTCGCAAGAATTCAATTATTTTTACAAATACTAAAATTTCCCCTCAGGAAATTCAAATATTTAAAAAATAAATATAATTCTTTGTAAAAATTCAATTGTTTTCATAAATAATAAAATTTTTCGTAGGACTTCAATTATTTTTAATATTAAATAAATTCTTCGAAAAATGCATTATTCATAAAATTTTTATTAAAGTTCTTTAAAAGAATGTAATTAGGTATTTACAAAAATTTTGATACCATTTTTTATCAGAATTAAATTTTAGAAATCTTCAATTATTTTACCAATTATTTGCTCCTGTATTTTATTAATTGAATTCTCGTAGATCTTTCTAATAAGAATTGATTTAACAATTAATTTCAGTTAAAATTTTAAATAATAATTGAATATTAATTATGTTTATGAAATAAACGTTATGTTTTAGAAATAATGACATTTTTAAAGATTTAATCTTTAAAAATTTGATTTTGTTGTAAAATTTTAAAAATATTCATTTTGTTTTAAATAATTATTAATTTACTATTTTTCTAAAAAAATTCTTGATGTTTGAATAATTTTATTTAAAAATTCAGAAAAAAATGATTGAGTTTTGAAAGAATTACAGTTGTAATTTTTTGGAAACAGTTAAATTTCAAAAAGCTTTTGCACTCAAATTATTAAAAAACTTTTATTTCACGTGGAAAACTGAATAAGAATAAGTATTTGAATATTTATTTTTAAAAAAATGATTCAAGTAGGACGAATAATTTAATTTAGAAATTATGGAAGAAATTAGTCTTCAAAAATTTTAATTAAAATTTTTTGAATATAGTTAAATTCTCGTAAAGAATTCAAATAGTTACGTAAATTTCCATTTAATTGAAAATTTTGTGAAATTTAATTGAAATAAATTTGATATTTTAAGGAATTGTATTTTTGTATTTTTAAAAATTATTTTTTAAATATAAATCGTATTTTTAAAGAATTTCAACTAAAATTTTGGAAAATTATTGAATTTCAAAGAAATTTAGAATTGAAGTTATTACCAGGATAAGAAAAATAGTGAATATTTATTATGGAAATCATGGAAATAAAGAATCAAATTTTTGTGATTTTTTTAGTCGTCAAATTTAATTTTTCGATAGCTACTTTTTTTACTACTTTTTTCAGTCTTAAAGCTAATTTTTCTTAATTATTGAGTGCGAAGCCTGTATGTATTTAGAAAAAAGAAAATCCTGTAAACTAAATTATTGAAAAAGATAAAAAAAAAGATTAAAAAAGAAAGATTTTTAAATAATATAAAAATATTATATTTCAGATTCCAAGGAGAAAGAATCAAGCTGAATTAATAAAGCGTGATGTATCTGAAACAAGAAAAAGCTGGCGTTCCACAACATCCGGGGAAAAATAGCACAACAGAAGATCCGAATTTTTCCAAACGCAATGATTAAAACAAGAAAAAAAAGCTTAATTTTACTATTAAAAAAAAAGAAAAGAAATGATCTTCATAAAGCACAGATGAATAGTTATGTGTGAGTATGTTGTAAAATCCATGCGAAGATCCACAATTTTTGTTTAGATTGATTTTGCAGAAAATGCAAATTTCTTACATTTAATTCGCCTTCAGTTTCCTTTTTTTAATTTACTATAATACTATTATAATAATATCTTCGACAACTCGAACGTGATATCATTTTAGAATTTAAACGATATTAGAAAGGAAACGACGCATTTATTTCCTTGTTTTTTACTTTAAGTTTAGTATAGCGTCCTATATATTTCTCTCTGTGACATTCTGGACTAATTCAGTGTGAATATTGCAAAGAGAACACAATAGTCGAGAACGTCCTTTTACATAAAAGAAAATAAATTACAAAACAAAAAGAACCAAATTATAAAAAAAACAAAAACAAATTTCTTACGGTCTACAGTAGTTGAAAAATTTTAGGAAATAAACTTTTTTTTCAATTTTCCAATTTTGAAAGAAAAAAAAAATAATTTTCTATTTCTAATAGCTTCGAATTCAAAATATATTCTCCTATTCTCTTATTGCTATACAATAAAGTAACTCTTCCATTATGACTAATGAAGAAGCGTATTAGAAGTATCGACAAGGCAATCGAAAATTCATTCCATAAATTGTAAACTAAAAGGAAACAATAGCATTTATCGAAAATTCAACGATTATAAAAAAGGTTCAATTTAGTTCCACGGATTTTTTTTCTATTCTTTCTTTTCTATTTTTATTATTCTAGAAAAGAATTTGTAGAATTAAAAAATTCGTGGTGTATCTACTTGAATAGATAAAATTTCTAAACGGCCTCATATATATTTTTTTTGTGCGAATTTTCGAAACAATAATTCGTGCTTCTTGACGTATTTGCCACAAGTTCTCCCCCTTCGCTTTTAGGTATAATTACCAACATCCAACGATTTTTGTACTTTACCTAACAGTAAAATACTCGAGATATATTTTTTATAATCATTTTTCGTGAAGCCAAACAAAGAAACTGCCAAACTTGTTTTTACGAAAAAAAAAATGAATGAAAGAAGTTATAACGAGCATTTTCGTCAAGAGAACGATTTTAAAACTACGAAAAGTAATATTATGCATATCTCCAAAAGAAAACAAAGTGGAACAATTTTTATGTAGATCCGAGTATCCCATTTGCCCCCCTCTCTCTCTATTTTTCCCCCTGTTAAGAAAAAGATTCAATTTACAAGAATTCTTTTTATATTCGGAAACATTTAAATAAATAGCAATTAGTTTTTCTCACAAAAAAAACTCTTGTCTGAAATTTAGGATATATTTTTTTAAACTTTCCGAATGTGAATAGAACTAGATTCTTTTTCTTAATCAGGGGTTTAAAAACATTTGTATCTCAGTGAAAAACTATACATGTAATTAAAAGTAACAGGCAAAGAATATTTATCGGCGTCTTGAATTAATCTCGCGTCGCAGCCCAAGCATCATGTTATTTAAAAGAAGCGTCGAAGCGCATATTCGTATTTAAAATGAAAAAAACACAAAAAAATGTGAAAACGTATTAATAACAAAAGAAAGGAAACAAGATTTACAGATTGCATTTTTACACATGCACAATTTGAATACATGGAAAAAAAACTCACACAAACTCAGATCACACGAACATTGTATATTTTACGTAAGGCTTTAAATGTTTCATGAAATAACTACCTATTATATTATAATATATCTATATATTTGTAATGAGTAACGACCATTTCTACTCTCATTGATTTGTCCCATCTTTATTTTTTTTTTAAATAGTAATTGTCTAATTTTTCTGGACAATTTAACGTAATAAACAAAAAAAAAAAAATTAAAAGAGTCAAGCAATCTTCATTTTTTTAAAAAAAGAAAAAAAAAGAATCTATTGTTTTTTATATTCTGATCTACGTCTTATTTTGCTTTTCGTAAAAAGAAAAAATGGAAACCGAAAAATGATGATGATCTCGAGGAAGATCAACAAATGAATTGATTGCATTTTAATGAAATCATTTAATGTAGGGCGACGTTGTCACGAACAATTTTCATTCATTAATTATTTTTTTTATATTTTTTTAATTATTTGGAATCATCACTACACATACTACAATTATAATATGCACTTTCCCCCTTTGTGAGAAAGAAAAATCTATAGCTATTACAATATAATTATTTTTAAGGAGCCGATTTACTCTACTTTTGCGAATCAAATTTTTTGATTCGTAAAATATAAAATGAAAGAAAAAAAAAAAAAAACGATAAACTGTAATAACGATGAAGTAATTATGTGTAAAATTGTAAAATTTATTGGAAGGAAAGTGAACGAAAATACGTCATCTTTTTCGACTTGTGAACACTTTTAACTCTAAAACAGATGAGAAGTTAATTGAGAAAAAAAAATAAAATAAAAAGTTTTGGCATTCCAGAAAGGTGATTTTTGTTGAGAGTAAAAAGTTTCGAAATCGAACGCCTTTTCGCACACTTTCCTACGGCTTGATATATAGATTGTATTTTTGGCTTATTATAATTAAGACTGACTATGTTGCTATATTAAAAGATTGCTTCGAAAATAAAGAGTGCATTTTTTTTATTTATTTTGATTTAACACCTTTTTTTATTTGTGCTTCATTTTTCTATTATAAACGTTTTTATAGTTAAAATATTGTAAATTAAAATAGTTCATGTGAATTTTGTTTTTTTAAAAAGGGGACAATTATTGAATTAAAGAACATTTTTTCTATTTTGAAAAATTGTCAGTCTTTTATTTTTGATAGTAAGGGGTTTTTTTTATTCATTCGTAAAAGAAAAGTCATTGACTTAAAAACAAATATAATTTTGTATGTTTCTTTAGAATATATAAATAGAATTTTTCCATTATTTCTTTCTTTGTAAAATAAAAAGTGATAAAAAAATATGTCACTTTCTTAGTTTGTAGTCAAAAATATTTTAGTATCGAATTAGCCTTAAAAGTATTGAAAAACAATTTGTATCTATTCTGAATGAATTTATTATTTTTAAATGATTAAAGGTGTAAAATAAAAAAGATAATGTGTGTTTTCAAAATTTACCTTTCAACTGAAGTAGAATTACAAATTTTATAAGAAAACAAATAATAGTTTTTAATTTTTAGTGCTATTTTTATGTTTAAAAAATTTGAAAAAATTATTGATGTGTATTTAAACTTCTTTTTTTGTTGAATTTGCATTTCTTTCTTAAAATTAGCATTATTTCTAAAATATTGAACATTTTAAATATTTTCGGTCTTATTTTAAAGATTCTTTTTATTTAATTATTTTTTTAACAAATACAGGACTCAGATCGACTTTGAGGAGCAAAAAAGTCGCTTTAATCAATGAAAAAACTCGAAAAAATCGTTTAAATAATAAAAATTTAATTATTTCTACAAATTACGACTGTGATTGTAATTGAATTGAATCTGAAATTCGATTATTATCTAGAATTTTTAACTAACTTTATTAAAAAATTTAATAATTTTTCTAAAAAGGATTATTTAAACATCAAATTAAATATTATGAATTGAAATTTTTAATTTGAAACCTTCTGACATTTAAATGTTTCTAAAAATTACAACTGAGACTTCTTCGAAATTCAATTATTTTCTAGAATTTTTAAATAAATTCTTCTCTAAATCAATTATTTTTAATAATTTTACGAAAGTTTTTCGAGAATTAAATTATTTAAATACAAAAATTCAATTTTCTACAATTTTTTCTAAAAATTGTAATTGCAACTTCTCAACCTTTTTTTTTAAATTATTAAAATGAATCATTGAAAAATGTCGCCAAAAATATTAAAAGTAATTAATTTTTAAAAAATTCTAATAAAATTCTTAAAATTTAGCTTTTAAAAAATATTGTTGAATAATTCTTGAATAATAATCGATTTTTCAATTATTAAAAAACAAACAAAAGATGAAAGTTTTAAATAATTGTAATTGAAATTGAAAAATTTTTGAAAACAATTTAATATTTTAAAAGAATTTTTGGAAAAACTTAAATTATTAAGGTGAGTTATTCGAAAAAATGTTACTAACATATTGAAAATAATTGATTTTTAAAAAATTGTAATAAACAGTTCTTAAAATTAGTTTTTAATTGTATTTTTCTTATTTTTTAAAAATTTAATTATAAAGTTTAAAAAAGTAAATTTTTTAAAAAGATTCATTTACTTTTTTTTTAAAAGATAATTGAATTTCTTAAAAGAATTTTTGGATCATTTGCTAATCAATTTTTTAAAGAATTTTAATTTAAAATACTGAAAATACTTTCTTTCAACAAAATTTTATTAAAATTACTAAAAACTTAGACTGTTTAAAATATTTTTACTTTTTTTGCAGATATTTGAATTTTTTAAAATAAGTAATTGAAAATATTGATAATAACTGAATTTTAATAAATTACAATAAACAAATTCTAAGAATTACTTCTTTGAAGACTATTTTAATGTAATTGTTAATATAATTGTTTTTATTTTTAAATTTTCATTTGAAGACTTTTCATTCAAATTTTTGAAAATTCAATTATTTTCAAAATTTTTAATTAGAATTCTTCAAAAATTTTTATGAAAATACCATAAAAAAATCAAATATTTTCAAATGGAATTTTACAAAATAATTTTTCAAAGATATTTTCACACTATAATAATAGAAATAAATTGCTCTTTATACCAAAAAAAGTGTCATTTTGTTGCAATATTTGAAAGAAAAGTTGAAAAAGTCGCAATTTTTGGAAATAGTTTGAAAAAATTCCAAAAAGTCATAGCATTCGAGGCCTGTAAATATTTTAATTTATAGGTAAAACATTAATATTCATTTTACATTTTATGTTTTTAATTAATAATTTAATAATCTTAAAATAATGTATTTTAATTTAATTTAATTCTAAATTAATAATTTAACAATTTTTCTATTTAAATATATTTTTTTATAATTCCTGTAAATTTAAAATTACTTTTTTTTAATATTAAAAAATAAATTAAAGAAAATCTAGCAAAAAAATGCAAATTACCTGTCATTTCAGAATTTTAATACATTTCTAGTTATTTTTAAATCTTAAAATAATTTTAATTTGATTTAATTTTCCACGAATATTTAAATTAATATTTTAACATTCTTCTCTTTGAATTTATTTTTTTAAAATAAAATTTCTTTTAATTCAAAATTGAAATTATTTAATAATTGTTTAATTATAACTAAGTTAAAGAAAATCTTACAAAAGAAGAAAGTTACCTAGAATTTCTTAGTTAAAATACATTTTTAGCTTTCTTTTAAATTTTTAAATCACATTTTCTAAATGTTAATATAAAAACTTGAGAAACAGTCGATAAATTTTCAAGCCTGACATTTGGTACTCGTTACTCCATCTACTTTTTTCAAACCGAGTATCAGTATTTACCATCAAATAGTAAATTCAAATACTGACTTCAAATTAAAATAACATAGTAACAAATAAACATTTCGAAATATTTCATACAAGTTCCATTCGAAGAAGTAAAATTATTACATTTTTCTAAAATAGAATAATTTTCTAAAAGTATAGGTACCAGTTCGAACGTATTAACTTAAGGAATAAATTTAAATTTAAGTTATTTTCTGACAATATATTTTAATTAAAATTAAAATTGAATATCGAAATCAAAATTTATAATTCCATTATAGGAACGTTAATTAGTCTTTCAATATGAATGCGGAAAATTATTTTCTAACAATTCCTAGAGTTCTAGTAAAATAAATTGAATAAATTAAATAAAGTGACGAAACGAAATTTTCAATTATTAACTTTTCCAAAGTGAATTTATAAATAAAAATATACGAAACAGCGCCAACTTGAGTGAAAAGATTTAAGCCTATCTCGATTTCTTAAAGTTGCTTGGAGAGTTTTTCAAGTTTTAAACTCTCCAACAGTGTTAAACAGTCTCTCCGACACATGAGAACAAATATACTGTATCTCTCGTGCGTGATTTCAAGTTTTTCTCGCTGTATATATGAAACGTGAGCAGTGGAGGCGTAAGCATTTTATTTACAGTTCCTGACGTAATTTTTCTGTTTCAAGTGTGTGCGCGCGCGCATAATGAGCCTACAAACCCCAGTGTCGTGTATTCCTGCTGCCGGGAAGATGGCAAAGGCAAAGAAGGTCCTCGATGAAGCTCGTGAAATTCAAAATCCCGAGCTGGATCTCGCGGACAAGGGAATTTCCAGCTTTGACGAGATGCCAGGATTGTGTGAGTATTTTCTCCATTCCGGCCAAACCCTATTTGTCCTTCGCGTCTCGTTTCTCTTTGCCAAATTTGGTAAGTTGTCGAGACTGGTTTGTGTGGATCCACACTCGTTTTCCTCGTTTTTTAATAGGCGTGTGTAAGCATGCGCGCAGCAGTCATTCTTTTTACAAATAATGAATAAATTTTTCATTCATGTCCCTCTAAAACAGAAAAAAAAGAAAATAATATTTCAAAATTGGTTACAAGAGAATGAGGACGAAAAATTATTTTTTTTTATAAAATCTGACGTTTATTCGCATTTAAATAATTAACAATAATATTATTCATAACTAATAATATTATTTTCATAACTAATATTATTTATAATTGATAAAAATTATTTATAACTAATAATATTTTTTATAATTAATAATATTGTATTATTTTCAAAGAGAAAATTAGAATTCAGGATAATTAATATTGTTAGTTATTTATAAATAAATAATAAATTAATTTCTAATTTAAAAATCGAAAATATCGAATATTATTTTAGGATGAAAACAATTATTTTTCAACCCAAAAATTTAGGTACTAGTAATTATTTTCGTCACTGTTCCCGTTCATATCTATTTTCCAAAATTTTCTATATATATAAATATTTCGAATCTTATGAAAGGAATTTTGTAATTATTACCTTTGTCCTATTTGTAATTTTGTATTAAAAAAATAAAACTGATTTTAATATTACAAACGTCAGAATTAAAATTTACAATGATAAACAAGTTTTGAACGTTCAAATGAAAGAAATATTTTTTTTAACTAATATTGTCATAAATTACTGATGTCAATAAAAATTGTAAACTTAAATCTTGCATTTTAGAAACTTAATATTATTCATTTTCTGTAACGTAAAATATTGAAATAAAAAAATATTTTTAGGAAAAAAATAAAGAAATTTCGTTCATTTGAACCTTAAGAATTATATAAAATTACAATTTGAATTTATTTTACCTAAATATTTAAATTCTTTACTTAAATATTGGTTTTTTTATTTTCAGTTAATATGCAAAATATTACACGAGTGACTCTCAGTCACAATAAACTACAAGGTAATTAATATTAAATATATTTGTGAATTTAGAATTGATATTAATAGGAAAATTTGATTAAATTAACTCAATTCAATTCAATTTAACTTAGTTTTAATTAATTTAATTAATGAAATTAATTTATTTTGTTTAAAGCTGTTCCTCAAGCTATATCGTATCTTGTAAATTTGGAAATTCTTAATTTATTCAACAATCACATTATGGAACTGCCCATGACTCTTTCACAATTACCAAAGTTGAGGATTCTTAACATAGGGTAAGAATAAAAATTTAATAACAATTATTATACCTAATTTGCAAATTTAATTTAACATTGCGTTAATAAGTAAATTTTTTTCTAATTTTAAAAGGTAACATTTTTGTGTAAAAAAATTAATGTAATTTTAGTAACTTTTATAATTTTGGATCTGAAATAATTTAATTCTTGCATAGAATTCTATTAAATCTTTTGAAAAAAATTCATTTCTTTCGAATAATTTACTAAAGATTGTAGTAAAAATAACTGAATTCTTGCAAAGAATTTTAATAAATTTTATGAAATAAATTGAATTGCAGCGAAAAATTTTATTAAAATTTTTATAAATAATTACATTCTTTCGAGGAATTTTATTAAATTTTTTTGAAAATAATTGAATATCAGTGAAAAATTTTATTCAATATAATTGAATTCCAGCATAAACAATTGTATTATGAAAATAATTGAATATTGCAAAGAATTTTATTAAATTTTTTGAAAATAGTTGAATTTCAGTGAAAGATTGTATTAAAAATTCTTAAAAAGAATTGAATTCTATAGATAAATTTTATTAAAACTGCATTGAAAATAATTGAATTTTTGCCAAGAAATTATTTAAAAATTGAAGTTTACATTTGAAATGAAAAATTTTGTAATTTCCATAACAATAAATATATAATAATTGTTGTTACTATTAATAATATTGTTAAATGCCAAATAATTCCATATTTATCAAAAATTAATCTTCAAATTTCAAAAAAATAAAACAATCTTTAAATTTTCAATTTCAAAACAAAAATAAATAATTACAGAATGAACAGGCTAAACGAGCTTCCACGAGGATTCGGAGCTTTTCCAGTTCTAGAAGTTTTAGATTTGACGTACAATAATTTAAACGAGAGAAAATTACCTGGCAACTTTTTTATGATGGGTATGTTGTAATTTTTGAAAATTCTAAAGACATCTTTTTTGCTTCAAATTCATAATTCTCAAGTGTTGTAATTTTCCTTCCCCTCAGATACGTTGCGAGCTCTTTATTTGGCGGACAATGATTTTGAACATTTATCACCAGACATCAAACAACTCCGAAATCTGCAAATAGTAATAAAAATTTTTTATTAATAATAATGTTTATAATATTTCAAAAAAAGGAGAAAAAAAAATTTTCTAAATGTAAAAACTAAGTTACTTACAAATTTTACATCGTGTTTGTTTTATTGCAGCTTGTTTTGAGAGACAATGATCTCATAGAATTGCCAAAGGAAATTGGAGAACTGAGTCGGCTTCGAGAATTACACATTCAGGGAAATCGCTTGACAGTCCTTCCACCAGAAATTGGTAATTCTTGCTAAATAGAATTAGAAAAAAAGATTTAATCAAAATTACTTTTCGTAATTCTGAATACAAAATTAAACAGCATTCAATTGATCGTTGAAAATGTTAATAATAACAATTAACATTTTTTTAAAAATATTTAACAGGAAATTTGGACTTAGTCAGCAATAAAGCCGTCTTTAGAATGGAATACAATCCCTGGGTAACGCCAATTGGAGACCAATTACAAGTTGGTGTTTCTCACGTAATAGATTACATTCGTTCCGAGACCTATAAATAGTAAGTTTTTTCAATTTTTCAAAAACTTTTTTTTCTAAAAGAAAAAAAATTTAGTAATTAAAAAGTAAAATTTTCTAAAAGTATTTTAATATGTCACGAAAGTAAATATAATTATAAATTATTAAAAATTTAGTATTTTATTAACTATCAAAATACTTTTAAATCAAAAGCATTTTCTTTTTCAATTTACAATATGTAATACTTAATTTTTTTTTCACAGCGTTTACAATAGGCATCAATCAGCAAAAGGTCCTCCACCACCAATAGAAAACGACAAAACTAAAAAGATTTCCCGTCTTCGTTGAATAATTACAATAACTTAATCATTATTCACACTGCCCCAAATACTCACAAACTTAAGGCAATTCTTAACAAAATATTTATGACGATAACTATAAAAAAAAAACAAAACAAAAGTTAACACGTGCCTTAGTTTTGTACCTTAATCAGTAATTTTATTTGGAATTAAAAATGTTCCTCTTTAAATACTAATTCCAAATTAATAACTGATATATTTTTTTTAATAAAAATAGTTCTTCCGAGACCAATGTTTACAAATCTAGACTGGAATTGATACTGACATATAGTTATTAAAAAATAGAAATTTTATTTTATAGATTTTTAAATAGTTTCCATTGTTTTTTTTTTGTAATAATTTATCGATTAATGTATTCAATTTTACGTCAAATTTAATAAATCTGATGTATGCGATTTTATATTATTTGAAATGCGGATTATTAATAACAGAAAAAAATTACTCATTGATAACCACAGATTTATTAATAAAATTATTATTTTATTAATATATATTATTATAATAATTATTAGAATCTGTGATTATTAATAAATAAATATTTTTTATATATTAATAAATAGAAATTATTAATAAAAATAATATTTACACTTATAAGCATTGATTATTAATAAAACAAAGATATTATATTAATAACCAGTTGAATTTTTTTTCCCCCCATAAATTCGATTTGTACTAGAAATGTGTATAAGACAAAAAAAAAATTTAATTAAGGATACGATTTAGTCTTTTTGAAGTCACATCCGAGGGTTAAAAAATTCCTCATCCTCGTCGTCAGTGTATTCACATTCTTCAATGAGTTGTGCAATTGAAGTGTCATAATCGAAAGATTCGTCGTCAGTAACGTGAGTGCCGCCTTCGACAAATTTTGCAAATCTGAAATTTAAATTCAAAATTTATTCATTATGTTAATCAATATTTATTTAATACTATTATTAATATTAGATAATAATTAAAATATTAATACTTAATAAATAATAGAATAATAAAATAAAATAATAAAAAAATAACGAAAGAAGGAAATATATTTTATACAATTATGAAAGAGTTTAGAGTAAAATTGTAATTGAAATTTGAAAATATTTTGGTAAAATAAAATTGCATTTACCTTGAAGGATCCTTCAGTTTCAACACTGTTTTCCATGGACTGCACTCGGGACTAGAACAATAATCTTGAAGATCTTTTAGAGCCTTCCTAGTTTCTTTGAGTCCTTCTTTATGGTATTCATCTTCCGTCAAAAGTCGTCTCGAATTTGACGTCTTTCTCCAAAACGAAAATAATGAACTAAAAAATGTTAATAATTACTATGAATTCGTAAAATTCATATTTTGTTTCTAACAATTCTAAGAAAACGTTGAAAAAAACATTTGGGAAAAATAACGTTTCTCTATAGAAAAAAAGGAAGAAAAATTAACAGTAAAGAAATTAATTAACATAAATAATAATTCGAAAGAAAAAAGAACTAAATAAATATCCAAATAAAAAAGTAGTGAAAAAGTAATAAAAAAGTTATAAAAAAATTATAAAAATTTATAAGAAAATTACAAACAAATAAAAAAATAATAAAAAACTAAAAAGTAACAAAAAAGTAAATTAAGACTAAATGAAAAGTAAAAACAATGAATAATTAAGAAAATTTGTTTTTTTATTAAAAAGTACAAAAATCCTAAAGAAATTAAATATCACTTTTTTGTTATATTCATGGAATAATTTGTTTTCTTGGAAAACTTTTGTTTCTTTTTTTTAGAAATAAATGATACAGATGTCCTCCGCAGAAAACTCACCAATATTTTCGTCCTTTTTTTAAAGCAAATATTGGAAAATTGTACAGCATAAGAACAAGGACGCAACACGAGCCCGAAGCTTCATAAAAGTAACTGCTACAGTAAATCATTACTAAGCCAAGGCTCTGCAATTTACGAAATATTTTTATTATTAAGTAAAAAGGAAAATATTTTTTATCAAACTCTCTGACATTTACTACTTTTCTAATCACTAACAATTGCAATATGAAACTAATTTCAATAAAAAAAAATAACACAAAAATTTAAAATTCGTTCTTGTTCTCTTTTAATTTCTAATTATATTTCATAACTAAATAAATAATAATTTATAACTTTATGACTAAGTAAATAATAATTATATTTCTATGGAATAATTTAGAAAAAATATTCATTTAATTTCTCCTCAAGTTTTGAAATAATTTTTTTTGCTCCAATATTTTAAAAACTTACTACACTTGAAATGGAAAATATTGTAATATTCATTAAATTATTATTAATTAAATATTATTATTAACATTTATTAAGAATTAATTTTCTAATTATAAAAAGTAAATGTAAAATTAATTTACATATTTTTTAGGAAAAAAATTTCAAATCGAGAAAAGTAATAAAAATATCGTTCACTTGAACGTGGTAAACTTTATTTATTTAACGGAATGGAAAATGAATTAAATACTTGAGAAAATTATAAATGATTATAAATAAAAAAAAAATTAATTAAATAAAGAAAACGTGTAGATTAAATTTTTTTACTTGAAAACTTGTGTTAGTTTTGAAATTAATTACCTGCAGAAACCATTGAATGATTCGTTTTGTTCTTGTATTTGTGATTGGTCCAAATCGATAACAAATAACGAAACTTATAAGAGAAGTTATCAGAACGTACCACAAAACAAAATCTCGATATTGCAGTGCAATTAACTGTGCATTGTCCCATAAAAGTTGAGCAACGTAGAAACTCATAGTGTAGCCAGTTGCTACCATTAAGTACATGAACTTTCCCTGTAAATAATAAAGTTATTATGTAGTTCCTCCAAATTAAAAATATTATAAATTATATTACTATTAAAAAATTATAAATAATTTACAAAGATGGAAATCATTTATACAGTTTCAACTTTAGTAGTTAATTTTTTTAATAAATTTAATATTTACTGTATTAATTCTTTTTACTTTTTTTGTCAAACTTTGGTACTAGTTTTTATTTAAATAAAAAAGCCATTAAAAAATTAGTAATTCTTTTTTACCTTTGGAAATAATTTACCAACAAAATAAATAAGTATAATGACTGAAGTCGTGACACCTAATGTGATTCCACATAAATAATAAAATAATGTATTCTGACTGAGTCTTTTTCCAGACCAGAATATTAATATTCCTAGGATCATGTAAGCAATTTTCCATACATCGACGCCTGTAAAAATAAAACTTTTATATTGTACAAATAAAAAATTCCTTTAATTTATTACACTCTGATATTGTCAATAGTTTTTGTTTCTTTCCCCAGAATACGAAATAAATACGTTTGATTTCAATTTTGAACTTGAATAAATGATTAGATAAAATAAAAATAAATTATTTAATAAATAAGTTATTTGGAATTAATTGCAATTATTTTATACTCACGTTGTTCGGACATAGACATTTTGTATTCATAATGACTATGATGAAGAGTATTGACTCCAATGCACGCATCTTCAAAAGGATTAATTCTAAATTGTTTATTTTTCTTCGTACTAAAGAAATTAAAATTCCAGGATCGTCTATTATCTTCGTACTTTGTTGTAATTTCGTTTGGAGTTCTGCCATCGTATATTTCGTAATTTTCTAAATTAATCTCTAAATTCATCTGTAAATTAGAATTTTTTAGTTTAAAAGAAATATTTTTGTTATTGTGAAGAGAATAGAATTTTATTAAATTTACCACTAATTTACTAAAACGGATATTTAATTTATAATTTTAAATAATAATTTAAGATTATAAATAGAAATTAAACTCAAAATAAAATATATTTTACACTAAAGTTCATACTTACATATACAGTTCTCCACATGTGAATTAAATACTTGGATTTTGCATTGTGACAAAAAATACGTAAACTTGGCGATTGACCTTCAATTGTCACTGTATTCCCCGGTTCTAAAAAATGTGCTGCAAAATAAAATATAAAATAAGCAACTTTAGGTCCTGTCATTAAATATTAATTTTTACGTTGCTTTTTCAATATTTTAAATTTTGAAATGTGTAAATATTCCCAATTTCTAAAAATACAAGTCAATAGATAGTAGTTCAAAATACACTAAATAAAAAATAAATAAAAATTACTTAGACGAGAAAAATAAAATAAACAAATTTACTTGAATTTGAAATGTCATTCTAAAATATCAGACAATACACAATTTCTTTCCACGAATACCACAATTATATTTTTCAATCAAAAGACAAAAAATTCAAAATTCCGAATAAATTTAACAGAAATTTCTAAAAAGTCTCAACGCATAATTAAGGAAAATTTAAACAAATATTATAAATTTTTAGCCGGTTTCTCGCAAATGATTAGAGGTTAGGAAATAAAGACAAAACTTACGTAAACTTGAAGATTCAAAACCAATTTTGTAAGCATGGCACAATGTTTCGAGGGTAATAAATATACTAATTAATTTCACTAACGTCTTCATTTTGTTTTTACAAAAATATACGATTTTTAAAATATTTTTTTAAGCGTTTTTACTTTTCTAAAACATAACCTTTGTATCAAAACATACTTGTCAACAACAAATGAGCGCCAATAACAGCGCCAACGGATAAAAACTGAAATAAATTCGAGATTCGATAAATATCGAAGAAAAAACAAATCGAGACTTTCGATTGAAATTTAAATTTTGAAAATTTGAAAAATTAAATAAAAAATAATTACTGCCAGAGAAGTATTAATTAAATGCTAAAAATAAATAATAAATCATAAAAATATGAAGTAAAATGATAATTTTATAATTACAAATAATAATAACAATAATGATAAAATTATAATTATAATTAAAATTACAAAAAATTGAGGTTATAATTAATTATTACCAATAAATACAATGAAGAAATAATATAATTGGAATAATATAAGAAAATAATTTGATTAACAATAAACAAATAGAAAATAAATAAAAAATAAATAAAAAATACAACTAATAACATTAATAATAAAAAACCAAATTAAAAATTAAAATTTATAAAAATTAGTAGAAAAAAATCAAAAATAAATATTATCTACAGATCACTAATTAATAATTCAATAACACAATTATTATTATTTTTATTATTTTTATTCTTATTATTTTTTTTTTATTCATTTTTTAATTATTGTTTAATTGTAAAATTAATAAATTTTACTGTATAATTATTATTTTTTATTGCAATATTATTTATTATTTTATTAGATTAGATTATAAAAATTATTAAAAATTATCATTACCAATAATATAATAAATACAATAAATGTAAAAATATAATAAACTATAATATAATTATAATATAATTAATAATTACCTATAATAATTATTAATTAATTCCATTTATTATTATGCAAATTACAAAATTTTTTATTTTCAAACACAAACTTCTGTTTTTAAATAATTTTAGATTAAAAATTTAAAAAATCCATTTATTAAGTAAATAATTAATTATTATTAGTGTTTATTTATTTCAAAAATTGTATTCAAATTCTTCGCAAGAATTCAATTATTTTCAAAAATAATAACATTCTTCGTCAGAATTAAATTATTTTCTATACCTATAATTTTAATAAAATTTTATGAAAGGACTTAATTATTTAAAAAAATTTTTGAATAAAATTTTTCCAAAGAATTTAATTATTTTCGGAAATTTTAATAAATTCTTCGAAAGAATTAAATTATTTTTTAAACAGTAAAATTCTTTTTATAAATAATAAAATTCTTCTCAGAAATTCATTTATTTTCAATACAATTTTAATAAAATTCAATAAACAAATTTTTAATTACAATTATTGACAGATACAATTATTTTAAATAATTAAACAAAATTCTTTGTTTAATTCAATTAAATAATTTTCAATTTTTTTTACAACTATTGTATTTAATTAAAAAAAATTAATATTAATTCATAGAAATAAAAAAAAAAGGGGGAAAAGTAATTAAAATTCAATTTCAAAAGTAAGTAAAATTTGCTTTTTAACTTTTCTTTCCTCGAATTTCTTTCATATAACAATTGATTTCCAACAATACAGAAAATAAGCATTTCCATTATGTCGCATAATAATATACAATGCTGCGAAATAATTCTGCAATAAAAACTTTTAAATGACACAATTTAAAGAAACTTTGAAAGTAATCTCATATTCTTTTGCGGGAAGAAAGAAGAAAGCAATATTTGTCTTTAATATAATAAGAAGTAGAAAACAGTCAAAGTGTAATTTCATTTTCTTTTCTTTCAAATAAACTTTTTAAATTGTTTACACTTGTTAAAACTTGTTTACAGTTAATTATACAAAAGAAAACAAAAAAAAACTATTTTTGAAAAATTTTTAATTATGAACGCAATAAATAAAATTCAAATATTATAATACGAGACTAATTATTTAATAATTTCAATTTATTTTTTATACTTTATATGAACAAAATTATCAAAAAAAAAATAAATAAAATTTTTTATTCTTTTCTATCACATTTTTTTTAATTCAATTTATTAAATAATTAATTTTTATATCGATTAAATTTGTATTGAAATTTTAATAAAATACATAAAATATTAGTACAATAAATAAATAAATAATAAAATAAAAATTAAATAAATTAAATAAATAAATTACCATTGAATGAAATTGTTGAGTTTTTCTTTAAATTTTAAATTTATTTCGTTACTTCATAATTTTAAAAATTATAAATATTTTAAAATTAAATTAAAATTTTATTTAAAAAATCTGTTAAAAAAATAAGTAAAACTTTTAGGGGAGGGGGAGGGGGGGGGTCAAGCTAATTGTTCCGATCATCAGAAAAAATAACGTTACAGAAAAAAAGGGGAGGGTGTAAAATTTTCAAAAAATATCTTTACGTATTTTTTGAATAACCCCAAATTAGAAAAATTATAAGAAACTTTAAAATTAAGAAAAATACAGAAAAAAAATTAAAATAAATTAAAAGTTTTGATTAAAATTAAAATTTTCATGTCTGAATGACAAAAGAAACTGAAATAAGAAATTCTTATTCCAATTTGAATTGGAACGTTTCATATATTATATAAAAAAAAAAATTGCGAGATTATAAAATAAATATTGTAAATTTGATAGACATATATATTATGGAAAAATTTAATTTACTGTTTCGAGAGTTTGAAGAAGTCTCGATTTGTCGCAGTGCGACATTGAAATTCAATTGAATATAAGACTTTTGATGCAACTCTCCGGAGAAGAAGATTTTTCAAGAGTTTCTTCAAAATGGATAGTCAATCAGTTGAAAAACGATCCATGGATTCGAAATCACAGTGCCGCACGATTAATTTAAATGTCAGATAAAGAAAAGTCGTGCCAAAAAAAGATTGCCCTTAGCTTTTACCTACTTTATCTTATGTCAATATTATCGGTCTTATTAAAAAGGAAAAAAAGAAAAAAAAAAATTCTGACTAAAAATGTGTTTTTTTTTCTAATAAAACTATTTCTATATAAGTTACAATAAAAAAAAAACATAAATTAGTCTGACTAAAAATTACCTATACTACTGAGTATTGAAAATTTACATGACTATTGTTTCTATACTAATGAAAAAAAAAAAAAAAATTCGTCTGATTAAAAATTAACCTATATAGGTACACTACTAAATATTAAAATTTAGTTTGTCTATTGCTTCTACTTATGAAAAAAATAATTTTGGCTGACTATAAATTTACTTATTCCACTTAATATTAATATTTAGTTTGTCTATTGTTTCTACTTATAAAGAAAAATAATTTCTCTGACCGGAAATTTATCAGATATTGATATTTAATTATTATTATTTTTCCATAGGAATTAAGATTTTTAAAAATTTCAAATTCAAACCTTTTTGAAAATAAACAACCTTCAAAATATTGAAATTTGAAGCTATCGATTGCTCCGAGTCGAAGTCTCGGAGAGATCGATTTCTTCAATTTTTATAATAATTAAAGATATTCGAGAGATAAAATAATTATTTTATATTCTAAGAATTGTTTAATTGTTTAATTAAAATAATAATTTTATAATAATTTTAATTGTTACTGTAACTTGTTCAAAATTATTTTCATATTCAATTATTATCTAAAATTTTAAATAAAATTAATTTTTAAATCGATTTTTATTATAGAAAATTCTACGAAAATTCAATTATTTAAATACAAAAGTAAATTATTTATTGAATTGAATTATTGAATTCTTTTGGAAAATATGATTAAAATAGTTGATATTGAAAATTATTGAATTGGGGAAATTTTTTAAAAATAATTGCATTTCGGAGAAAAATTTTATTATTTATAAAGATAATTGAATTTTTTAAGAGAATTTTTTTTTAATTTTTGAACATTATTGCATTTTTACGAAGAATTTTATTATACTTTTAAAAATAATTGAATTTCTGCAATCATTTGTAACTTCTTTAAAATTCAATTTTTTTTAGTTTTTTTTAACTAAAATTATTCAACAAACATTAAATTTCACTATGCTTTTAGTAATGGAAAAAAAAGTTTAATTAAACGATTAAAGTTACTTCCTTTTCCACTGATATAACAATAACATTTTAATTTTTATTTCGGTAATATAATAAAATAATTTTTTTTAATGCAATTTAAGCCATTGTCTGACTGAAGGTTTCTATTGCTACTGACAAAAAATTTAATCTACTCAAACTGCTTCTAATATAATTAGGAAAATTAATTTCTTTGTCTGACTTCAACATACTTTTACTCCTAATTTCTCAATATGTTGTTTTTTATCTTTTTGTATTGAAAATAAATACAATTTGCCTTACTTTATTTCTATTGTTTCTAAAATACTAATATTGTGCCTCACTATAACTTATTACTCATACTACTTGTTTTTCTCTGTAAATTGGAGTTTAGTAAAAATGTTGAATAATTTTAATAAGCGACTGACTTTTTGCTTTTGAATTAGTAAATTTTACTAACAAGACAGAAAAAATGACTAGTTTTTAGTAAAAATAACTAAATTAGCTAAATTTTACTAAATTAATTAAAAATTAGTATTTATTTGGTCTAAAATAGTAGAAAGTAAATAATTTCGTCTGACTAAAAACTACTTGTACTACTGATTTTTTTCTAATTTTCTCAACCTAAACAGTTCCGTCCGACTAAAATCTATTTTTACCACTGATACCCTGTAATTCTCTCAATTGAACTATTTCTGTCTGACTAAAACCTTCTTTTATCACTGAAATTCTGTAATTTTCTCCATCTAATCAGTTGTGTTTTAGTGAATCCTAATTTTTCCACTATTTAGATTTAAAAAAATAATAAAAATTATAACTGATTTAAATTTTAAATTTAAATTACATTATATTATATAGAAAATCTGACTATAAATATTATTCTGAAAATAAATGTTTGCTATAATTTATATATGCCATTAATTATTATAAAATTAGGTCCAATTAATTAATTATTAGAAAATTAGTTCCAATTAATTCTCTATTCAAAGATTATTCGTAATTAATTAATTATTCGTTAATTATTCCTAATTATTTAATTATTCGTTGATTATTTCTAATTAATGAATTATTTCTTAAAATAATCATGGATTA